GCGCATTTAGTGGAAGTAGGCGGATCTCCGCTTATGATGTTTGAAGCTTGATGAACTGGGTGCAGATAGAGCGTCTGCCCCCAAAGGAACTCCGGCTCTTCAGGAAGCCAGGGGCCAACAGAGCCAGCCCCGCAGCCATCTGGATTAAAACGCGCGGCAGGAAATGGTGCTAAATTAAAAATACAGGAAGATATTCCCTCTCTTAAATCTTTTTCCTATTTCTCCTCTCCTAACTGCTCAGTGTTCCTTCTACAGTGAGGCCACTAATAGCTGTGGCCAGACTGCGAGGTGCCGGCATAGACCACTCACGTCAGCGTTGACCGTGCAGTGCTGAAGGTCCCTTGTATTTGTTCAGCATTTAACACAGCACTATTCCCAGGCACCACCCTGGGAAGATGAGGACCAAATAGGCTGCTCAGCAAGTGTCCTCTCTCGTCCTAGGGACTCAGGTCCGCACTGGGTGCAGGGGAAGCGCCCCCATACCCCCCATCCCGCGCGGCTGGAGCAGGCGCGCAGGCGGCAGCACTCCCAGCCACTTCCAGCGTGGCCACCTGGCTGTCCCTCGCAGCAGGTGTCCCCGCCACCTGGGTCTGGACCCGCTGTGGCCCCAGCATGTGGAGCGGAGTCACCAGCACAGAATGCTCACTCTCTGACACACTGAACAACCTGAAGTGGGGTCTGCAGGCCACAGAGAGGCCAAAACCATGACCTACGAAGCTCGTACACCGACAGTGAAAGAGACCTCCTCACTTCTTGGCTGGAGTCAGCTTCACTTTTAATAGCCTGCCAAGTGCCTGCCGCCTCTCCGAGGATGACCGATGGGCACTGGGGATGGGCCCTGGGGGAACCCGGCTCCATGGCCCAGGCTGAGGAGCGCAGTCAGCGGAGCAGCAGCCGCTGAGCCAGCGCTCCCAGCGTGCAGCCTGCGAACCCCAGATGGGCTGTGGCTCCGGCAGCTGAGCTGTGGGCATCATAGGGTCACTGCTGGCCAGAACCAAGGGCATCTGCGCACCAGTAATGACCGCAATGACCCAGTCTCTCCAAAACGAGTGAATGACCACACACTCAGCTTGCTTTGTTTTCCGAAGTCTGGCCATTCCTTAAGGAAGGAATATAGGTGATTCAGGGATCAATACATGTCACTTGGAAGGTTTTGCACCCACAGTGCCTCCTAATATTTATTTCTCATGCCTGTCCTGTCTGCCGCTGCTTCCCGTTCTTACTGTTGCCAATTTCCGTGAATGGACTCAGACAAGAAAATAATTAGTATGTTCACTGTGGACCCAGGTGATGGTGGTTTACATTCGTGTTTGCTGAGACAATCTCTGGAACCTTCCACACTTGGTGCCACCCTCACTGCTCTGTTCACTGCTTTAAGGAGGCAACCACTGCAAGGGGTGTTCTGGTAGAAGCGCCAACCCGTCTCTAAAGGGCAGGAGCCCGCGACTATGTCGGTGTATCTCTTGCCCATAAAGTAATTCCCAAAACACACACATTACTGCGTTTGCATGACCATTTCCTTCTTTGGGATGCTCAGGATTTCTCAAGTTTCTCATAATGGATAATTTTCAACCATCAGACAAAAGAAAGGCCTGCGTGTAAGGACAGGCTGGAGGCCGGCCTGCAGGACTGGGACGCAGAGCCGCTGTGCATGCAGACCTGCTGCTCGCATGGTGGCACGGGGACACGCAGGGCACACCCACTGTTCACACCCATTGTTCACAGGGCCCTCGTTAACTTACACATGTCTCGGGCTCCGGACCTGGCCTTTACTCAGGCACATTCGTAAAAATAAAGCACCTAACAGAATTTTCAAAATCCGAACACCTGTGGGCTCGGTTGCCACTCCTTTATAAGAGGCGCAGGTACAACCTCTATCCCCATCAGAACCTGGCAGACTAGGGCTGCCTTTGCGAGGCGATGCTAAAAAGCCTCCTTGACTTTCTTTCTTCAGTTTAGATCTCAGCAATGAGTTTCTGCACAATCTACCAGCACAGAGTGTGGGAATTATAATACATAAATTATAACTTATGCCAAACGTTCCAGTAGCTCTTCAGGAGTCTGGAGTCTTTAAATCAGGCCTATATGATACAGGGACACTTACATATACGATGCTGTCCATCGCACATCACATCTGCATACCTGATCTTTATTTCCTCCCCTTCATGCTCATTTGGGTCCTGCCCATCGTCTCTACGGAAGTTCCAATAGACATGATCCTTTTCATTCAGCCAAGCAGAGCAGTTGAGCTGCACATCTGTTCCTAGGAGAAGTTGACAAAGTTCTGATTTTATTTCATTTTTTTCATATGTTCTTTATTGATTTTAGAGAGAGGAAGGAAGAGAGAGAGAGATCAATGTGAGAGAGAAATATTTATCAGTTGCCTCCCATAAGCACCCTGCCCGGGGCTGGGGATCAAACCTGCAACCAGTAATGGAACCCGTGACCCTTCCATGTGTGGGCTCATGCTCTGGCCACTGAGCAACACTGGACAGGCCCCAGTTCTGATTTTAGAGACTCAGATTTCCCAGTTTTAACTCAGTATAATCAATATATGCTAATGGATATATAATGCTAATATAGTGCTACTTCCAGAAAGAAAACAGACATGCTTTGTTTTAAATATGAAAAAGTATATAAAGCATAGAAATTAGGTATCAGTTATAACTCATCACCAAAATATGAATTGGCTTCTCTTCAAAGTTATGTTAAATAAATGATTAAAACATAGGTGGCCTTTGGCAGAAATACAGTTTCCCACCCCTGCCATAAGATAACCTCAACACATGCACAGCAAAGCCCTGGCCGGATGGCTCCGTTGGTTGGAGCATCATCCCATGCACTGAAAGGTTGTGTGTTCGATTCCTGGTTGGGGCATGTACAGAAGGCAACTGATCAATGTTTCTCTTTCATATCAATGTTCCCCTCTCTCCCTCTCTCCTTACCCCTCTCTCTAAAAGTCAATAAGCATATCCTCGGGCAAGGATTAAAAAATTATATACATAAAGCCAAAATTAACATAACTAAAGGATATATAGAAAAATTGGCTCTCATAGAGACATTAACATCTCTCTCAGCAATAGTTAAAGAAAGCACACAAAAGATTAATAAAAGTGTAAATGACTTTCAACTTCACTTACTTGACATTAACAGAATGGTAAAACCAAAACTTGCAGATGCACATTTATTTCAAATGCACTTGAACATTCATCAAAATACACTATATTCTTCCCAGCTGGTGTGGCTCAGTGATTGAACGTCAAGCTATAAACCAGGAGGTCACAGTTCAATTCTGGTCGGGGCACATGCCTGGGTTGTGGGCTCAATCCCCAGTAGAGGGTATGCCGGAGGCAGCTATCAATGATTCTCTCTCATCACTGATTTTTTTTTTCTCTCTCTCTCTCCCTCTCCCGTTCTCTCTGAAATCAATTTTAAAAATATTTAAAAATACACTATATTCTGGTCCTTAAGTAGGTTACTACAAGTTTCAAAAGATTGAAATAATATGGTATATAATCTTGGATCTTAATAGAACTAAATTGGACATCAATTACAGAAAAATAAGTACAAAATTGTCCAAATATTTGGACAGTAAAAAACCCAAATAATTCATAGATGAAAGAAGAAATCGTAAGAGAAAGCTTTTAAAATGTTTTGAAGGAACAGCAATGAAAATCTGGTATGGAACAAGCAGTTAAAGGCATGATAAGGGAATATAGAGCTGAAATTGCACACAGTGCAAGAGAAAGTAACTGGAAATAACTCCCCAACTTTCCATGCGGACTAACGAAAAAAGAGGTGCAAATTAAGCCCAAAATAAGGAGAAAAATAATAGACAAGTTCAAAAAAGTAGTAAAAAACAGAAAGCAGGAAAACCACAAATATAAATGGCCAAGTATCCGAGCAACATAGACTGTGTGTGTGGTAAACAGCCAGGACCAGCTGTAGCCAGAGGTGTGGGCTGCAGAAGCAGCCAGCAGCCCCGAACCGCCTGCGCCACTGTCCAGTGGCTTCGCCTGGGACAAACACAACCTTTCTGAGCTTCAGTCCTTTCTTCCTGAAATGGAAAGACTCTCAGAGTTGCTGGAGAACTTAACTCATTAAGGTATTTCAATCACCACACAGAAAACTTGGTTTACATTGTAAATGTCTTCCTTCCTTCCTTTCTTTTCTTTTGGAGGGAGATGTTGATTCCTCCAGCCTCTCTAGACAATTCCTGATTGTGCAGTCAATTCAGGGTTCAAATTCATTAATCAAATATGCTAATCATACGAGACTGCATAATGTCTCTGAGCATTCTTACGGACCATAGAGACTATTAAAGAAAAGCCACAAACAGGGTGGCTAAAGCCCTCATTTGCAAACCACAGGCCTTCCCAGGCTGTTCATTTTAATCAGCTAACAATGGCAACACTCAAGCCATGACAAGCTTTGCTGCTTTCGTAATGTTCTTCCCTAGATACGCAATGTGTTATGCACACAGCATTGATCAGTAACGCATCAGGTTTAGCCTTGGAAGACTCCACTTGCCCATTCATAAATGCAGAGTAGATAAGTATGTGAAAATATACCTAATTCCACTTCAACCTGGTTAAACTTTGGTCCAAGAATAGCTGGAATTATAGTACTGTGATCTGAAAGTGAAAAAAGAAAAGTGTGTTAGTACTAGTACTCGCTGCGCTCTCTACCGCAAACGATGGTTATCTGCCTGCGTCTCCCCACGCAGCACAGACTCCCAGTCACCGGTCGCGGACTTCCATTCCAGTCACGTTCGCCTGATGTGAGGGCAGTGGCTGCGGCCTGTCGCTTCACTTCCCCGGACTCCAGAGCCACTGGGCTGGAGGCAGCACACAGGCTTTAGCTTCCCGCAAGTCAGGTCACGCCTCCGCGCTGCGCTCAGTGCGGGAGGAAGCGGCTCACTGGGGAGATGGAGCTGCAGGCAGAGAGGCCA